TGGAACTCGCTATTGTAGCCAGGCTGATCTCCCAACTCAGCGATCTTCCTGCTTCAGTCTCCTGAGTGCTGGGATTACAGGTGTGCGGCACCACGCCCAGCATGATGCAACTTTCTACATTGTTATCAGGGCACAAAATTTTAGTATGTTAACTTGTGTTTAATGAAATCATATTTAGTTTATTATTGAGGCTGCTTAATTTGGAAATGGGGCAGAGAAGTCACAGGGGATGGGGGCTTTGATGATGGCAAGCACTAACATACAAGGCGGGACTTGTCTTGAGTGGTAGTGTGACCAGTTTCCAGAGTTCACATCTAGAAAATGAATGTGTTAGCTCCTCATCTTCTTGATAGGCTTTGGCAGAAAATCATTAGATCAGTAATAACTGCCAGCTACTGTGTGAAGTCTGTCAGGCCGGTCCTTTGTTAACCAGTCCTCCAGAGAAATTCTTGGTATAAATGACATCATAGCAAGGTGAAGTTAGGCACAATGATTTCCTTTTCCTGTAGGGGAGAGTATGTTGTACATGGAATCAGAGGAAGCTTGCAACAACTAGTTTAGTTGTCAAACTTGAGGCTATTTGTTTCTTAAGAGTTTTTGTGATGATTCAGCTTTAGCAACAGCTTACACAAAAGACTTTTTCTGTTTCGTTTATATAGTAGTAAGATTGTCTTATTTCTCCAGGTTTTTTTTTTTTGTATATTTAAACAACTCTGTGAATGTCATTACGATTCCTTTTGTTGAAATTCTGCAAATAAGACAAAATAAAAAATACCTCAAAGAAGTAATTATAGGAGACATACTGTTTCCTTTGGAAAAAAGTTACTATGAATGCTGTTAAAATTTCTTTAGTAATGGAAATAAATTTAGCTTATAATATTAAAAATAATGGATAGGTGAATCAATAATAGTTGTCCTTTAGGTAAACTTGTATTTTAGTCTGATTTTTACAAAAACTATAAGTAAAAATATATTAAACTGAGTGACACAGCCTTTAAGATGTGTTTAATTCTTGAGAACATGTTAATTTTTTTTCAGAAACTAATATTGTAGTTTTATTAATCATGCTGGGGTCTTATATTTCTTTCGAGTTTTTTAAATGAATTTTACTTTGAAAGGTTGTTTGGGAATTCATAAGGGCAGTGAGGACAAAATTAGAAAATCTCTGGAAAAATTATCTATTGCTTTATTTCATTTGTTTTACTGGTTCTAACCTGATACAGAATAAATGGTTTAGGAGAGAATTGCAGCAATGCAGCATTTAAAACTAAGTTGTCTTAAAACATAATTTAAGAACGTATGTGGTCATCTAGTTAAATAAAAATTTAAAACATAGTTTATAATGTTACTGAATTATCAGCGTAATCGGTGTTTGTGGAGAAAATTTTTAAGGATTCTAATTTTCTTGTAGGTTGTTTTAATACTTTGTTAAATTTCTTTCCTATTACTCATACAAGAGGTGATTTTAACAAGCCTTTTGAAAGAAAAGAAAATTGATTCTGTGTCCACTTGCGCATCATATAAATAGAATGTGTTCATTTTTCTGATTAAGTATCTTTGCTAATCTAGCTCCCTACATGGTGTACTGAAGAGCTACCAGAACCAAAAAGAAGCTGCTGCAGTTCTGTGAAATTGGAGAATAAAATTAGATTATCTTGCCCGTTTCCTCACCTTAAAGTAAAACATGAGTTCCCCTTTCAAGTCAGAGATTCGGTGTTTGAACATTTCTTCATTTTGAGTGAAAAGTAAAAATACAGGGAGCTATCATCACATACCTTTATAATTTTGGAATGTTAGTGCAGAACCAGTGTCTAAGGAATATCTGATATGATACAGTCCTGTGGGATCTGGAAAGATCACTGTTCAGAATTTTAGAC